GCGCGGGAAACCCGATTGCCTCACAACCACGGTGTGGGATGGCCTCATCAGCTATTGGACGTTGCCGGATTCGATCCGAACGTCCAATACAAACTCCGGGAATCGCATGGCCCCGGACCAGCATGGCAACACGAAGACACTTCACACCACGGGCCGAAAGCCTCACGGGGGAGTTCGTCTAGACATGGTACGTATTATTATTTTATAACTATAAAATTTTAACTTTAAATTTATTCTAATATTTTAAATTAATATTTAATTTTTAAAAAAATGCAGGCTAAAGAGACGGGAGTTCTTCCGTCTCTGAAAGACCTTTACGAGCGGACCCACCGGAGGAAGAGTGGGCAGTTTGTAGATCCTGCTTCCGAGCGGATCTACAACGAGGTTGCTGCCCGAGTTGACGAGCGCNCAATGCGCACCTACGGACGGAGTTGCAGACGACGCAGACGGAGTTGCAGGCGACGCAGTCTCAGGTGCGTACGCTCACGGCCGTCCTCGACGTTGTGGCGCTAACAAACCCGCAACTGGCGGAAGAGTTGCGTCAGAGACGGGAAAGCGGAGCCCTTCCATCCCAAGAGCCTCCACCATCTCAGTCACAGCCGGCATCCAACGACCCTGGAGACGACTTCGTGAACCAATTTTAGTTTTTTTTTTGTTTTTCATTGTATATTATGAATTTTAAAACTTATTATTGTATATTATTAGTTATTTATAAATATTTTTTTATTTATTTTTAAAATTTTTTTAAATATATATAATTTTAATTTATAATTGTTTTTTTTAATAGGAAAAAATAGTTTCGAAGTAAAATCCTCGTAAAGTTTTCGAGGTAAATTCCTCGTAAACATTCCTAGCAAACTCGTCGTAAAGTGACTACTACGAGTTTACGAGGAAATACTTTACTACGCCCTTACGAGGAAAGTCTACGTGGAGCTTACGAGGAAATGTTTTCCACGGCTTTACGAGGAAGCCTTTCCTCGTAACTTAGCTAGGCCTTTACGAGGAAAAAAGCCTTTACGATGAACGTCTTTCGACGAAACACGTTTCCTCGCTATTTCCTAGTAAAGGGCCCTTTACTAGGAAATAACGAGGAAAACCCGTCCTAGTAAAGGACGTGTTTTCTTGTAGTGAGAGAGTAATTCATATTCGAAAAGAATTGAATCAAATATAATGTTGTTACCTTGTTATTACTTTTTAATTGGATGTAACATTTTCTTCGAATGAAAAGCATTTTCTTCAGTTTTTCTAGGTTCATAACAGATTAAAAACATAGCGTTTGTGATTCTTCTCAATTGATCTGAAATGTTGTGTAATTCACTTAAGAAATGGATAAAATAAATTATCTATTTAAAAAGTGTCGACATTGTGGGCACATCGATATTATTAGGCAGATTATAAAATGATTAGATAAAAGGAAAAGTTGAAATACTGCTCTGTGATTGTGATGATGATGATACCAAAGTCTCTTTACTGCGAAAACATAAAAGAAAATAAATGCTTTTGTCCAATCATGTTATCCTTTCCCGAAAGTTACGAGGTGAAACCATAACACAATAAATGAATAATAACTTGAAATCGTTTTAAATAGATACAGCCAGTCACAAGGCTCAGGGAAAAGTGAGAATATGATTTATACAAGTTTATTAAGTTAGTGGTGAATCATTGGCCTATTTATATATTTGTCATGTGGAGTCTTTTTAAGTGATCAATCGATTAGATTCCTTTCTATGTAACTCAGTTGGTATATGAAAGATGATCAATGTCACACATAGAAATAACGCAAGAGAAATTTGTAACAAATATGCAAAGTAAAATTTAACACATGTTAGAGTTTTAACTAGCAAGCTAATGAATGTGCACAAAAAAAAAAAACTAGCAAGCTGATGATTTACGTACTAGTATTCAAGTACTAATGTGATCAATAGTTTTCTAATTCTTATTGGAAATATTAATAGATTTTAAAATACTTCAGTCGTGTTTCTTGTTTTTAAAAGCTTAGCAGGTGCATAAAAGACTTATTTGCAAGTTTTGAAAAAATGTTTTACTTCCTTAGAAGGAAAACTTAACGAAAGTGCTTTCAATTATTTTTTGTTAGGGATGAAAAAATAGGACAACTTGCGGTTTGATCATGGTGAGTTGGTAACCGTTTAAGATGGTTGACAAAAATAAAACCTTTTAGGATTTTAGGATCATTTAACAAAAGATTTTTGCAAAGTTGCTCGTTGTCAAACACATGTTGTCGACCATAATAGTTTTACGTCAATATTTGAGTATTCTTGTAATATATTGGGAAATATGACTTGACTATGAGTCTACGTTTAACAGACGCTTTGAAGATCAATGCGACTATTCTGCAATTATCTTTGAAGTGAGCATACAAATACGCATGCATGTACATCAGCAAAAATTATTAATGAATCCAATAAAATTCCTATTCAGAAAAGCCTAAACGATCTCTTGTATGGGTATACATAGATGCATCGTTGGCATTGTCTTACATTCTTTGAACTTTGATCAATATCTCTATTTTCAATACAGATATAGATTTATAACATACAGACCCATTCCTCTTTAAAAGTTCAACGATAATGCACATTCCCGGAAATGTATAGTATATTCCTTATCTCAAAACCGATAAGAATATTCAGTCTAATCACTAAAAATGACTCAAGATATGCTATTATTGACCAGTAACAGACACACACATACGTATGTATATATATATATATATATATAAATAATTGTCTAGGTCTTTTTCTTTCGAGAACTGGCATTGTCTAGCTTTTTAGATGGATAGATGTAGAGAAGGTAAATTGAAGTTTATGTGTATGTGATTCTTAGCAAATGAAGTTTTCAATTAAAGTTTCAAAAGCAGATAGAGCTGATATGATGCAAATAGATGTCCACAATTTTAGAGCAAAAGCTACAAAAAAATTAGCTTACACGTGTTTCATCAAGCATAACAACGCCTAATAGTTAATACCTTGGTCTATGTCATATTGTTAGAATAATAGATCACACAGAGAAAGAGACATTAGACGTTGTGCATTTGCTTTTTGTGTGTTCGCGAACACTATGGCTGTGTCATTGATTCAGGCTTTCAGCTTTCTTCTCATTGCTCAGTGTAACTTGGTTCGTAATTAGGTTTATATTAATTGTTTTCATTTTAGGCACGCGTTTGAGTTTCGATATTATATATACGAATGAAATGAAAACGAGAATAACAATCGGGTTATTCATCGAGTGAAGTTTCACAGAAACTAAAACTATACAAAGGGAAATAAAAGCCATCAATATTCAGAACTAATATCAAAGAACATGATGATAATGGGGGTTGATTACAAGGCTACATACTTTTTTGTCTACAAATTTTCGTTAATCCAAACTAAGGTCTAGCCCACTAAACAAAAGGCTACATTTAATGAATTATCTAAACATACTTGAAAAGATTAAAAAAAAAAAAACATCTCAACCCCCATTTCTATGGATCTGCTTTCGCGGAAAATTGGACATTCAAAGCTATAAACTGAAACAAGAAGAAGAAAATACCGCAGAGTTGGTAAAGTCGCATATATGTGTAGTGATCTCAGAGTAAACATCTTGTGTGGCGCATGCCCTCAACATTAATTCCAATTGAAGACCAAAGAAAGTTTAAATTTAAATTTAACAAAAACGAATAGATCAAAGCCCATTGAGCTTTCAAACCCAACTAGGCCGTATTCAACTATACAAGTATCCATTAACTCTATTGAAATAACAAGGCCCATGAAAAAATTGCGTCATCTCACAAACATCCGAACCATCAAACCAGACCGAAATAAAAAACCGGAAATCGACTTTTAATTTCTGATTTAGAAACCGGAATCGAACCGGGGGTAATTTCGTAGTTTCAAACAAAACCCTAAGTTACTAGGGACGACGCTTTATAACTAAGAAACCCTAAAAAGCTTGAGTGAGTGAGTGACAGAGAGACAAAAGAGAAACACAAAAATGCCGCCGAAGTTAGACCCATCACAGATCGTCGACGTCTACGTCCGCGTCACCGGAGGCGAGGTCGGAGCAGCGAGTTCACTCGCTCCTAAAATCGGTCCACTCGGTCTCGCCCCCAAGAAGATCGGAGAAGACATCGCCAAGGAGACAGCCAAAGAGTGGAAAGGCCTCAGAGTCACCGTCAAGCTAACAGTTCAGAATCGTCAGGCTAAAGTCACCGTCGTTCCCTCCGCGGCGGCTCTGGTGATCAAAGCCTTGAAGGAGCCGGAGAGGGATAGGAAGAAGGTGAAGAACATTAAGCACAACGGGAACATATCGTTCGATGACGTTATTGAGATTGCGAAGATTATGAGGCCGAGGTCTATTGCTAAGGAGTTGAGTGGGACGGTGAGGGAGATTTTGGGGACTTGTGTCTCTGTTGGGTGTACTGTTGATGGCAAGGATCCCAAGGATCTTCAGCAGGAGATTCAAGAGGGTGAGATTGAGATTCCTGAGAACTGAGGAAACGAAAAATTGTTCTTTTTTTTTTTTTAAATTAGAATGATTCAGTTTTGGAGACATTTATGTTCCTAATGAGTGAAGAGGTGCTTACGGTTTTTGTGTTTTGTCTTTTTGAGGATTTGCGTTTTGGTATACTATATTTTTGGTATTGTGATTTTGGAGTTTATAGTGTTGGATTTGCAAATTTTGAACAATTAGAATGTTGGGATTCATTTCTATAATCTATCAACTTGGTTTTGAAGTGTTTAATGTCATTTTTTCGAATGCATCATAAGGATCGTGACATGATTGAAATTTAAGACGGTTGATTAGTCATTTTCTGGAGAATTATAGTACTTAAGCTCTAACTATACGTCGATTTGTTATGAATCTGATAGTGAATTGAAGACAAATCATAACACTTTGGCCTTCCTTAGATGTTTTAATAGTGTGTGGAAGGAACATTCATATACGTGGTTTTGATGACTTGTCGATGTTGTGATGATGATTTAGGTTTGTCTCATTGTATATACCTCATTCAGTAGTGATAGTTATTGTGTGTGTGGTTTATTATTCAAATAATGAAAATTGTTAAATGCTTCAAAAGATACTGAACGTTGTAAAAAAAATATGTGGTTAGTAGTTTGAGTCAGTATAATGCGCAGTGTTCATTAGCAGTTGCTCTTAAATTTACATTGTCTGGCGGGAAATGTAACATTGTACTTGTACCTTGACATGATATAGTTCTCAGTTTAATGCGTTTGCGGTGTGACAGTGTCTTTGGGTTTGATTACCTTCTGGTCGGGCTTGTACTTAAAACCCTTCGTTGAATGGTGGGGATTGATTCTACGATTGGTCTTGAGTTAAAAAAAACAAGTGAAATTTGTTGCTTGACGCAGTCATGTTAAAGATTCGTATATGCGAAAAAACAATGGACAAATATCATCTTTTTGATTAAAAAACGAGAGAGATCGGAAAAGAGATCATTCTAGAGACCTACTAACACCGGAATAGTAATGCTTAAAAGGGTCGTTCAGTTGTTAGAGCCCACTACCACAGACGTTTATATGCTCTGAAACTTTCATCATCATGCTGCCAAACCCAACCAAAAAATAAACTTACATGCTCACATGCATCATTTACATGGATCCATATATATATATATATATATATATATATATATATATTTATATCTTTTTACTTTTATGTGATCTAACTCAACGAGATAAATATATATATGTGTAGTGACATAATGTAATTAGATATATAGTATATGCATGCATCAACCATGTAAGTCCAACATTAATTGAATAAATGGAGAAATTAGAAGAAAAGCAATGGGATAATTGTATGCGTACATGAGAAATCGTCTGGCAAAGATAATATTATATAATAACTAGTTCAACGCTGTTCTTAGTCTTCATGTCACAGATATATTCTTAACACTTTTTTGATATTTCACTAAAACCAAGTTACCAAATATTCCAATGTTTATAATCTGTCTTTTTACTCTCAAACTGAAAGAGGTTAATGAACCATAGTCCCTTAAAAGTACTAAATTCTTTCCAGTTAATCCCAAACCTGGATTGAAAAAGAGAATTACAGTGAAGCGTAATGATATTACAAATCTCGTAAAAAGTCTGTTGGATCGAATGTTATTGACTGTACTTTGCATGAAAAAAAATTAGACTTCTATAGTATTTTTTAACGTGGGTTGGATGAGACTTTGCTCGCTAACATACAATTCTAGAAAAGCGCATCTTTCTTTATATGCCAATTTAGTTTCATAACCTTTACAAGATTCCTATTTCCTCATATTATTTTTGTGGAACTTTATGTCATATATATACTCTATAAGCTAAGCTCAATACCCCCATTAATATCACATATACGAATACATGATTAATCTAACTTTTAAAACTTTAGGTTGTGACGATCGATCGACGTTGATAGACTCGTTCCGGATTCAATTCGGTGCAAGAATATAGCAAATGCTGATAGATAAACATATCTTAAAATTACATACATCTAAGTCCTTCGTTGGGCCATATAACTAATTAGTATAACATTATGGATTGTTCAGATATTATATAGTTTGATAATCTTGTTGAAGGGTATAAATCAAATACATGCTATGCATAATTCATACTCCATCTGTTCCTAAATAATCCATGTTCTAGACTTTTCACAAATATTAAGAAAACTCATTTAATTTTGATTGTAAATGCATTGTTTTTTTGTGAATAACAATTTTCCATAATTTTTAACCAATAGAAATTCAATAAACACCATTAATTTTTTTGAAACTTACATCATTCATTGAAAATGTAAAAAATGCATCTTTTTGGAACAATTTTTTTTCTATAATATACATCTTTTAGGAACGGAAGGAGTATTACGCAACATGCTGATGGACTAGTGATAAGGAAAATTAATGAGATGAAATTTAATACTGAAAGATATTAAATAAATGGTTCAGCTAGAAAGTCTAGAATTATTACAAACACAAGTACATGCCTAAATTGAGGGGTTGGTTGGACGGCAAAAAACAAGTTTATCTACCACTAATCATGTAATTTAAGACAGCTCTGAGTCTCTGACCCGTAGCTAAATTATTCGGATAATGTACACATGATAAACAAAATGTTGAATTGAAGAAACATCTATGTCGACATACATTAGAGAATAGAGACTCTGGAGAAAGATGATTGGGTATACGAATATGTGTTGTACAATCTGAACTATCTTGCTTTACCTAGCTTTGTATGTTCGCTTTACAAAGACTGTTTTAAATTAAGTTTCGGATTAGGCCCGTAATTTTTTTTGTTTGGTTGGGATCAGTCTTTTTACCAAAAAATGAATGGATCTCTCTCTCAAGCAATGTCCGAACTAAAGGTGACTTATGGTTCAACCTCCTTCTGGAAAGACCATTGAAACGCCACTAGACTACTGAAATTTTATTGCTTAACCCAACACACCCATGTTCTTTCTTAAAAAAGATTGATATATAATAAGTCGATGCCAAAAATCCCCTATATATTATTTGAGAATCATTTAAAAAGTTGTAACCTTGAGTTTGTAAGAATTAAAAATAACTCCAATCCTACGTGGCATAGCTCTTTGGCTTCTATTTCAAATCCCAAGGATTCTAGAGCATGTGATATAATGTATAGTTTAAAAATTATATTCTCTAGCAATATAATATTCCGTAGGCTATAGTTGGTTGCATATATCAAATATTTATTGTTTCACATGCTTTCCTTAAATAAAACCTACGGAATTACCTAATGTGATCAAAATATATATATGACAATTAATGATTTTAAACAATAAAGATTTGATAAAAATCTGTATATTTTTTCATTTTGTTTATTTCTTTATTATTAAAATAAATTACACAATTACATTAATCATATAATAAAAAACTAGATTTTTTTTGTGTATGTTGTATTTCGAATTTTTCAAAATGAGTATAAATTACTAAAACTGTTAAAAGTCCCACATAAACTTTTAAGATCAAGGTTTTAATTTTTTTTTTCTATACTAAAATATAATGATTATAAGACCATATGAAGAAATAATTTTAGTTTATATATATTTAATATCATTTTAATTAAACTATACATCGTATGAAAATACATACTTATATTTTGATATTTGCCTTGAACATATATTGAAAAGGTAATATTTTAATTTTGAAATATGTCATTGTTTTTTAAATGATTATAAATTATTAAAACTTCTAAACATCTCACATTAAAAAAAAAATCGTTGGTGTAAATTTTTGTTACACAAATATGCAAATAATCATAAAATCATATGAATAGAAACCTTATTTAATTAATATTCATATTAAAAGTGTGTTATATTACTAGGTTTATATCATTTAAATTTAATTATATATCATATACAATATATAAGATTGATTATTTTGATTTATTTACCCTAATTGTGAATAAACAAGAGTAATAGTTAAATTTATATGCATACGCCAATTTATTACATAATAGTAACTGATTTCTTAGTTATTTAATATATATTTATTATTTTATTATTTATAATATGCAGAAAAATATAAAATAAATAATAAATATAAAATACTTATTGTGCATAAAGTGCAGATCTTAACCTAAGTATGTATCTCTTTAATTATTTTAAATCTTATGTATTTTCTAAAACAAACGAAATGAGAATAAAATTCAAAATAAATATTTATATCGAGTAATAACCAAAATATAAAAAAAACATAGCAAGAAGATAAATAGGACTGACACGTGAACGCAAATTTCTCATAACCATAATTAATTTTTAAATTGTTAAATCATGATATAAAACTGATTTAATTTTTAATTTTTTTAAATCATTATGGTTATGTTAAATCATGACCATACTTAATTTTAAATTATTTATTTGTATCTGAAAAACTTAAAGTATTTTTTTAAAAAATATTTTAAAATTTAACATAATTTTTTATAAATTATTTTAAAAAATAATAATTTGTTAAAAATGTAATTTTCTAATATTATTAGACAGATAAATAAATTATATTAAATTAGTTTTGAGACTTTATATATTTTAAATGCAAATATTTTACCAGTTGCTTCTTAAAAAACATTAGGGAACTTGCTAATACTCTACCAATCAAGCCGAGTAACACTCCATTTATTTTTCATCACTTGAACACTGAAAAGTGAAAAGATATATGAAAACAAATCCATTAAATTCTAAGATTTGATCTACATTTCTAATTAAAAATATTTCTGATCCTACATATAGATAATTATATAAAAATTTCAAAATTCTCAAATTTCAAATACAAACAAAAACAATCATATGTAAATTTTAAATTTGTCAATACTAAAATTTTCAATTTTAATTACATATATTCACCCTGCGCAAGGCGCAGGTCTTATCCTAGTCTAAAAGTTAAAAGATTATACGCTAATCATTCCTTTATACAGCAGTAATTACAAACATTATGACAAAGTTGAGGTGTTTTCATAAGAGTTATTCTTGGGTTCACCCCATAGGGTGAACCTCTAAATTCACCATCCAATAGGATTGCATCATTTCATATTTGATATCTTTTAAAAAAGGAAACAAAATCTTGTTAAGTTATATTATGTTTTTAAAAATAAAAATACAAAATAAATAAATAATAATAATAATTAATAAAAACGAAAATAATTCTTAAAAAAAACAAATTTTAACACTAAACCTTAAACTTCAATCCTAAACCCTAAACCCTAAACCCCTTGGTAAATCATA